AGCTTTAAGGGCGTGCATCTATAGAAAAAAAGGAGGAGGTTGGCAAGAAGAGAAAAAAAAAAAAAAAAACATTGAAGATTAAAACAAAAAGATACTTTTATTAAATATTTCAGTGTCTTGCGTGGCGCGTGATTGTATGATATTCCGAGGTGGGAAAGAGTGCGGAGGAGAAATTTTCCATTTCGAAAGTTGGACAATGAAAAATTTTTGCGCTGCAGGTCCACACAAACTCCGAGGCAGAATACACCTGCCAACTTATAAAAATCAAGAGCCAGCAAATCGAGTTTCTTCTTTTATGTCCCTTCCTTTATTGCGGCCGCAATGAAAAAAAAAATACTAATCATAAAATAAAGAAACGACTCTGGGCTCTTTCCCGGCTCCTACGTAATAGAAAAAGTAAGATATTCTAATCCGCGACGTCGCAAACTGCTCGACCACGGTGGCTTGATTAAATTGAACAAGCCGATTCTGTAACTTCGCGGATCTGACGTTGATCACTATGCATACACTGGTAACTCCAACGTAATCGAGCGGCTCATTTGCGACTCAAGGGAGACGAGAAGAAAAGTTTTTAAAAATTATTGTACGACAGCACCGAGTGTTTGCGCACGACTTTTGATCTCTCGAAAGCCCTCGGGTGGATCTGGATGTATGGACGATCTGCACGGAATGATGTGAAAATAAAACATCGTGCAGTGCATATATCATAGTATATTTAGATATAAACGATCTGCACTGTGAACTAACGAAAAAAAAAAAAAAAAAAAGAAAAAGAAAAAAAAAGCCAATTTTAGTCGCACAAAGTATATAAGTATATTTACAAATAACAGATAATATATAGGAATTAAATAGAGAACAATCGTTTGTTTGTATACTTGTACGCTTGAATTTCGAAAACTCGTTACTACACATAAGACTCCGAAGAATCAAGCCTTTTATAAAGAAATGTTGTTTCGGAATACAAACGTTTTATTTGTTCGGGCAATTTACATTAAGATACTTTCAGTACCAGTATTAATTGATTTGTTTCTTCAATGAATTATATAAAATCAAATGGATGCTATCCAAATGAACTTGTATTAGTAAATAATANCTCTCAAAAACGCTCAAGGTAGGAAATAGTAGTTTTCCTACGAGCTTGAAAAGTCTTTGTTTGCGAACCGAGAGGTTTGCGGCCCGAGCCGAAGGCGAGGGACGTAACGAGGTTCGTAAAGGAGACTTTTCGAACGAGTTCCGGAAAACTGCTTTTTCGCCCGAGGAAGTACCAGCCTCCCAAAACCACCCGAGGGTGGAAAAAGATTATTATTGAATTTTGAATACTATATAAGAGAATAGCATATGAGGGTTGCGAGTTTCCAAGGTCATCACAATATTTTGAACTTTGTCAATAAAAACGTAAGAAGAAATCGTTATAACAGTAACAGTAATAGAGATCGATGGGCCGGTGGAACGTCGAAAAAAATATTCAATTTCAAAATTACTCAATTGTTTTTCTGTATGGAATATCTGTTCCATACAGTGTTTAAACTTGAAATTTCGTACTTTCAACATTCGATTTTTCGTTGATTGAATCAAGTTTTTTTTTTCTTTTGCAGTAATAGACCCATGTAAAAATTTTTACGGCGACTTCATTGAACTGATACAAGTATATTGTGATGAGATAAGTGACCACATATAAGTACAGAGTGCATGATTCACGGATGCGCGTGTCCCTTATATCCCTATAGAGTCACGGCTTTTTTATTAATACACGTCTCGATCGATATCTGTTATTTTTAAGACGCAAATTCCATAAAAAGTTCTAAGAGTTGGAAAATAAAATTATATAAACAAGTTACCCGAAATCTTACAACCCGTTGTTCTACTGTCCCCGTGTGCATGTCTACTGTTTGATAAAATTTTTGTGGTACATTAATCAATACTCTGTTAAATTGTAAATTAAGCTAAAATATAATTATGGTTTCAAAGTGTGTATTTACATCAATTTCAAGAAATCTTATACATGACAATTGAGCAGCCGAATTTTTTTAGGAACACTATACCCAAAATAGGACAACATTGTTGAAAGAAAATCTGTGATAATTATGTATTACCGCAACTGTGTAATCAATCGGACGCAATTTCCCTAAAATTTTGCAAGTATTCTGATCTCGAGTGTGTATAGGTACCTACGCGTGGGTGGGCAGCATAGCCACTTACCTATATATAAGTTTTTCAAATTCCAGGGAACACCAACACCCCATCATCAGTACATGGCATTGATGGTATACTTATATATATTATATGCTCTCAGCGCAAAACATGGTGTGTGAACGAGACAGATAAAATATATAAGCAAAAGAGATAAAAAGAAGAAGACAGAAGCCATCTCCGGAGGAAGAAGAAATAAGTAAGTATAACAGCAGCAGCCAAGAAAGATCAAGAGACACCAGCGAGAGATATATAATATGTATATATATGTATATATTAAGTATTGTGCGGGTGTGTGTCGTTATAGTGGGACCAAGTAGCCATAAGTACTAAGTAGATTAGTGGACGTGTGTTTTCATGCAGTGTGCGTGATACTCTTCTGGCTTCTGGCGGCTGCTGCGGGCCAGCAGCTAATAGCCCAGCAGAGGTAATAGAAGAGTATATGATGGCGACGTGGGGAAACGAAAAATTCGAGGAGGTACACGATAGATTACAAAAGTTACACGTCGTATTAAATTGTGTTTAGAGAGCAATATGTATCAAAGTTTTTTCTCACAGAGAAAAATATTAAAGAAAAAGCGATTATGTACAAGTTTTTGAGCAAAAACATCACTTTATACATAATCACTGTATCTTCGATTTCATATTATTTACATACTTTAAGTATTTCTGTAGCTAACTATGGTGTCCATCTTGTGAATAGAAGTAGAAAAGGATCTTAATTTTACTTCTTGGCTGTTGGCAATAAATACAGGATCTGTCTCATCCCAGTCCTTTGGAATATCACATTCAGGCTTTGTGTAGGTAAGGATGTCGAATGAACATAAACAATCAAGAAGCGGCAAAAAGCTAACGGTTCCTGTAATAAAGTAAAGAGTTTTAGTTGATCAAACTCTAATTAGTTGTTTCTTTATTGAACTATTAATTATATTCACCAGTGATTTGACGTATAACTTCTCGGATCTCTTTCTGAATCGTTTTGGTATCTTTGCTTCCAACTTCGATGAATTTACCATCTCCATTATCGTCTGCATTACCATTTGATGAGACGGTTTCATAGTCTACTTTGAAATCCCACTTTTCTAAAACTTCTTTGGTATTGACGTTTAATATGACCAGAGTAACTTTCTCAACTATTCTCTGTATGAGCCACTCCTGGATTTGGCCAAGTACATTATCAAAGAAGTTTTTGATTTTTGGATCTGTGGACATCAATATGCAAAGTCCAAATTGTTCCGCAGGCTCAAAGGTTTCCGGAGGATAAATTCCTCTCTGATACAATATGCTATTGATTCCATATACTATGCAATGAGAGTAAATCAAGCAATGAGTACATTATCAATGGAAGTTAAATAAATTTATTTTATAATCGTTAATTGAAATATGATATTTACAAAGATACTCTTTCAGCAGCACAGCAGATCCTTTAAGAGTGATGCACTTAGTTTCTTGCTTTTGTTCAGTCATGATGCAACGACGTTACTTATTGTAATATTCAAATAACGCAAATAAATCATTAGCAAAAGGGGAAACAGGAGCTACTTTCGTAGTTTTTATTCAACACAATTCAGAAACCGCACTTCAATAGAGGTTGTTTTTTCTCTCCCGTTCGTTATCTCGGCGAATTTCAAAATACACAATAGCGTCACGTTATTGGTTGAATTCTTTCACTTTGCACTTTATGGAAGCCAATTACTTCGCCTGGTTAGCTTGGACAAAAATAAAAGTCGAAGTACTAAGACGTCAACCTAACCTCATTTTAATCGATGTCGCATAGGCATACACACGAATATACTACTTTTTATTAAAATGCATATCCTTTGTTTAGTAAATATGTATATGTCACTGATTATTAAAGGAAATAAATTTGAAGTGTGAAGGTGTATACACGGATATGCATAAATAAAATAAAAATTTTTATAGTTTAAATTATAAATTAAT